GTGTGTGTGTGTGTGTGTGTGTGTGTGTGTGTGTGTGTGTGTTTGAAGAAACTCCACACTGTTTTCCATAGTGGTTGTACCATTTTGCATTCCCACCAACGGTGTACATAGGTCCCAGTTTCTCCATATCTTCACCAATAGTTATTGCCTTTGATTTTTTTGATAATAGCCATCCCCACAGGCATGAGGCAATATCTCAATGTAGTTTTGATTTGCAGACATTGAGTGTCTTTTCATAAACCTGTTTGCCATTGGTATGTCTTCTTTAGAGAAGTGTGTTCCAAATGCATTTTGTGTTCTTTTCTCTGGTTTAATAATATTCTAACATCAACCCCAAAGTTCACTACCCATTTCCCTTACATTTCAACTTACATAACGCACATACCTCTTTCAACTTACACGGCACACAGTCTCACCTTGTTGCCAGTATCTTCATTTAACATAGGTATTAATAAACAGATAAGCACTTGAATCAAAATTATTAATGATTTAGTTTCTATCCTACACTGTTTTTATCATATATTAATGTTTTGTGCATCACAGTTTAGAGAACAAATAATTGTTTTCCAATAGCTTCTTTGACAAATGACATAGTATTTTTCTTCCTATACCAGTATGACAACAAATGAGTCTTTCTAATGTCAAGCTAACATTGAACAAACCCTACATTCATTCATCTGACTTGTACTTGGGGCAGGTTCCCGTGTGATAGACTGTAATTAGTGAATCTGCATTTTATTAGAATCTCTGAACCTTTATTCATATTTGATATTGACTTTTAGACTAAATCAGGAGACATAAAAAATTGTTCCAACCAAAATTGTAAAATAAAATACCAGTATTGTAAAATAAAATGGCAGAGCAGTAAAACAAAACTAAATCTAGGTCAGGATTACTTGAAAACACAGCTGACATGATTTGTTAGTGCACATAGTGGTTAAGGCTCTGTCTTTCATCCGGTCTAGCCAGGTTCAAGTCCCTTTTGGGCCCCTACCTAGCATGTGGATTTAGATTATTCAAACTCTCTGTATGAAAGTCCTCCTTATGGTGAAAATAATGGCAGTGTCTCCATGAAAAACACAAAGAAGATATCATATATATGGCATTATAGCAGCCATATGTTATACATTGTAAGTGCTATTTAAAGGTTGTATGTTTAACTCTAGGAAGACCTTTAACCAAACAAAACCTGTAGTAGATCCTATAGTGAGAGTAATGAATGTCTGTTAATATATAATAAATGTAGCCCACATTTCATATTCTCATGCAGGTTCTCCTGGCTCTGAAGACAAATACCAGTTAGTGGTAACTGGCAGAATGGTCTCCAGAGATTTGGCAATGGAAATGGACTTCTTATAACAGACTAAGTTGTAATCACGGGCATTTCCTGCCTCTTTATCATTGGACCTTCCTTTCCTTCACTGAAGGCAAACTGAAATCCACAGTTTGATTTTCATACATCTGCTTATAACCCCTCCTCAGGCATTCTGTGCAAAGGTGGCTCCTAGATTTATGGCAGCTTTTAGGTTGAAGCATTTCCACAATGACTTTGGATGCAAATTTGTTTTATTCCCCCACAGAGGTGGCACAGTAGGCCACTGACATCATCACCTTCCTGCATGTCTCCACCATCACGATCAGCATCAACTCCAGGTGGGCAGAATAAAAAAAGCTCCCAAATATATTGAGGTTTCTGTTTTCCTCTGCTGGATCCTGTATATGCTGTATAAAATTCTTCTTACTTATATAAGGTCAAACACAGCAGCAAAGACATAACAAAACTCCAAAGATTTCAGATACCGTTCTGCTGAATTTCGTGACAAAATCACAGGTAATCCCTATGCAGCATTGTTAGTAGTCCTTTATGTTTCTTGTTTGGGCTCGTGATCTAGGCCTGTGGCTCTAAGTTTCATCCTGCACAGGCACAATCAGCAGGTCACACATATTCACAAGAACAACCTTTCCCCAGCTACTTCCAGTTTTTTTTTGGGGGGGGGGGGTTTGGTGTTGTAGATTTTTTAAAAAATTGGGGCGCCTGGGTGGCTCAGTCGGTTAAGCGTCCGACTTCGGCTCAGGTCATGATCTCACAGTCCATGAGTTCAAGACCCATGTCAGGCTCTGTGCTGACAGCTCAGAGCCTGGAGCCTGCTTCAGATTCTGTGTCTCCCTCTCTACCCCTCCCCTGCTCATGCTCTGTCTCTCCCTGTCTCAAAAATAAATAAAAACATTAAAAAAAAATTTTTTTTAATAAAAAAATTAAACACACACACACAGGATATAAGTGCACAGCTCAGTGGAATTTCACAAACAGAATGTGACCCTGTACACAATGCCAACATCAAGAAACAGAATTCTGTCATTCCCTCAGAAACTCTTGTGCCCCCTTTAAAGTACTGTCCCCAAGGGGCACCTGGGTGGCTCAGTCGGTTAAGCGTTCAACTTCGGCTCAGGTCATGATCTCACGGTTTATGAGTTTGACCCCTGCATCAGGCTCTGTGCTGATAGCTCAGAGCCTGGAGCCTGCTTCGGATTCTGTGTCTCCCTCTCTCTCTGCCTCTCCTCTGCTCGTGCTCTGTTTCTCTCTGTCTCAAAAATAAATAAAACATTAAAAAAAAAATTAAAGTACTGTCCCCAAGGATATACTTCTGCTGCATATATTCATAGATTTGGAGTTCTTGGGAATAAGTTTACAGCCATTCTAACATTTAAGAGATTAGATCACTGTTGCCTGTATTGCACTTTCTATAAATGGAATCATATAGAATGAACTCTCTCATATTGGCCTTTTTTTCCTCAGTCTATCTGATTTTGTGAATTTATCCATATAGTTGCATACAACCGGTTACTAGCAGTCATTAGCATTGCTGTATAGGACTCCATTATGTGAATATCACTTGGTTGACTCATTCTACTATTAATGGGCAGGTGGGTAGTTTTGAGATGGGAGCTACTATGAGTAATGGAGTAGTGCTGGCATATAAACTCTAATAAGTCTTTTGGTAATACCTGTACAAATTTCTGTTCAGTAAATTTGTAAAGGTGGAATTGTTGAGACATAGGATTACATCTGGTCAGCTAAAGTAGATACTACCACACAGTTTTCTAAAATGTTTGTAGCAATTTTAACACCCACCAGCAGTGTATGAAAATCTTGGTTGACCCACAACCTTGCCAAAACGTGGTATTAACTCACTTCACTTTAGCTTTCTGGTCAGTGTATGGTGGTACCAAGTAGTGGTTTAATTTTAATTTTCCCAATTACTAAGGACACTGAACATGTTTTGGACATGTATTACCCATTGAGTAACCTCTTTTGAAGTTTCTGTTGGGAAGTTTTGTCCACTTTTTTCTATTGTGAGCCTGTAAGGGTTCTTTGTACTATACACAATCTCAATCTCTTCTCTCTCTCTCTCTCTCTCT